TAGAGTGAGTTGTAGCCTGAAAGAAGCTATGGTTCTAAACATGCTGGAGAATGGTCCTGATCCCAATGTCCTCCCCATTAGGTTATCAGTAAGATTTTCATGTGTTCATCATGTAGGGCTGAAGAGGCACTTTTAAGCATATTCAGTTGAAGCTGCTTATAGCATTTCTGTGATTTGGAATCCTTATAAAGCAGGGTTTTTAATCACATAAATACTGCAAACATGTTCAACCAAATGTGCTTACAAATACCTCTTCTGTGTGACACCTAGGGGGGTCCTCTGAAAAGATTTTAAAGTTCATATTCATCCTTATCCTGATTAGAGACCCACCTGCTTTCAGGCTAGAACTCCGGAATAGGGCACAACAGAAAGATAGATACAAAAATATGTATCAACATAAACCAGTGCTGTATTGGTAGGAGCCACACATATGCTAGGTTTGGGAGACATATAAAGTAATACTTCCCAATAACATGAGTAATTCGCAGCAGTTTTTAGTACCCATGTTAGTGTCTTGCAATTAAAAAAAATGCATATAACAAATGCAGTCTTCAACAAATATAAGTAAAAATGATGTAAATTGAGTAACCGCCCAGAGACCTGTGGGTAGAGTGGGCGGCATATAAATTAAATAAATAAATAAATAAATATAATCTTTAAATGTCACCCAACAAATTTTTGTTGCTTTTTTGTCATGGAGATGTGGCAGTTGGTTACATATAGCTACTAGTAAGGGAAAGGAACACAATAAATGAGGTCCATTTCTTTGACTTTTCACATTTTAGACCCAAGTACTTGATTGAAAATGTTTCTGGTAACGGGCCCAGGAAACATTACCTTTACATTTTCAGAGGAAAAGCTTAACTAACCTATATTTTATAGGAGAGTGTTTCATAATTACTGTACATTATTTACTCGTGGAGGGAGATTAATAATTAATGAGTTGAAAGTATCAAATGTTTTGGATATCCACTACCTTATACTATAGATCAGGGGTCTCCAAACTTTTCAGTATGAGGGCCACATCATATATTTTACACATTTTCAAGGGCTGAAGGAGGGAAGGGGGGGGGGCCAAGCAAAGACAGTGGGGGTAGGCGGTGGCTTAGATCAGGCTTCACTCTTCTTCCTATCACCGATCAGGCATAATAAGAGGAGGGAAGGGGGACCCAAGCAATCCCTCACACCCACTGTCTATTGGGGCCCCTTTCCCTCCTCTTCCTATGCCCTGGCAGAGATAGGAAGAGGAGCGAAGCCTGACATAAGCAATCCCCTACCCCTGCTGTCTCTTCTTCCTATGCCCAGGCCAGATAAAAAGGCAAGGCAGGCTGGATATGGCCCATGGGTCATAGTTTGGAGACCCTGCTATAGACAAAGAAACACTCATAAAAGAATAAACACTACAGTTCAAGAAAAACTTGATAATGATTTATTTTACATTTTTGCTGAAATTATGGAGAACAGAAATATACAGGTTTGAGCAGGAGAGAGGAAAGTGAGACTTCTGATATTCTTGGAATGGCTCAAATTAACCTGGTAAAGTTAATTTACTTTACTGTAGTTTCCAGAACTGTGGTTTAAATAGCAAATGTTGGATGGCATAGAGTACAGTATAAGAGTTTTATACATGGATATGTTTTTCATTTACCCTAATTCACTAAAGTTTTTAGGAAGTTATTACAACATTGTGATTCCATTCCTGATCAACCAGAATGAACAATTAGAAATAAACATAGGGTTGGAGTATTTTGTTCCTAGTATGCTTTGTTGTTGTTCACAATGCATTTTCAGAGAAACAGCCCTTGTTAAAGGCATCATGGTCCCAAAGGGAACTGTAGAGCTAAATTATTGCATGTGAAAGGAACAGTCTCTTTTATCAAACTGGGCAGGAAAGGATATGGAAATGATGGCATGTTGGACTCATGAGCATTTCTATTTAGGCCACCAAAATATACCGTACTTGAACTTCCAAAGTGCTGCCTTCAAGATGCTCATCTGTACACTAGGACATCTCTTCAAGGACAAAAAGTAGAAGATTTTGGTTCACTTTTGTTATTGATTAGATATACAATAATGATAGCCACAGGAAAGGATTGTTGAAACAGTACCTAGAGATAAAGGAAAGTGAATGTTCTCCTCACCGCTGGAATTGAAATTAAGGCTATGCATGGGTTTCAGTTCCAAAGTGAATCAGCCTGATTTGGACCTATTCATATGAGGGCAAGATCAAAGTGGAATGACCGGATTTGGTTCTAGAGCAAATTGAAAGGTCCCGACTACTGCAAACCATTTTGGAGATTTGGACATGTAAAGCAGATAGGAAAAAGGCCAGGCAGTGCCCCAAATCCTGTTAACCAGATTGTATGTTTCAGACCATTCCTTACTAGTAAACAAAACATCCCTGGGAGGCACATGCATGGACCAAGCAAGCCGGTGTATGTGTTATCCAGAACTGCAGCAGGGGTGGCTCATTTGCTGGGGAGGATGGGATCACAAGTTATGAGGTAGCTAGGCTATGCAACANCCCACGTTAAGAACCACTGGCTTAGGCTATGCAACGTGATTTTGGCATCTGTGTCTCAAACACAGTGGTGTGATTGCAGGAGGAGCTGGCTTTGCCTACTGATGAAATCTGAGGTAAGCATCTCTCCGCTACTTTGCAGTCATAGAGAGGAGAGTGATACAGCTCTTCATAGCTTTGCCGGGTGTAGTAGTGTCAGTAGTAGTCAGATTGAAAGACCTTTGAGAAAGTAGTTCAGCTGTTTGTAGCCTGACCTCAGTCTGAATCCCCTTCCTATCTTTTGTCTTCTTAATGTGACTCCAGTAGCCAGTAATTTTCACTTTACCTTTTTAATATGCTGATTTGAGTGGTAAATATCTGTAAGTTTTGTGTGAATTCTTTTTCTGGTGAAACCTGTGCTGCAAACGTGCCGTTTTGTGCAGGAATTGTAGAACTCTTGTGCACTTGGCATTCCTTCTTCCCTTTCCAAGTGAATCCTGAACAAGATGACATTCTGTACCTGGGCTTGTTGACATCCAGCATGCCACGGTATTTCTAACAGAAAACAGTGACAAAACACCATAGAGATTCTGAAAGCTTACTCGGGAAATTCTTTCATGCCACATAAATCCTGCAAAATTTCACAGGGGAAAAAGTTCATGCAAAACATTTTCATTGCAGGGTGAAAGGAAGGACTTTTCCCCCTTTGGCTAAAATCCTGTTCACAGGAAATTAAAAATTACCACCACCACCACCGCCATCCCATGATCTGTAACAACTTACCCTAGATAAAGGGAACCCACTGGAGTCTCAGGATCTTCAGCAGTGAATCAGAATCTTTTTATTAAAGAAATTGTTGTGGTTGATATCATCATCAGCCTTATGTAGCGTAAATTATAGAACCGGATATTTGCCTCTTTTACTTTCTGGGAGCGAGACTGAGATTCATACCACTAAGTCATAGTTTTTTGGGGACTGTAGTACAAGCCCTTGAATGCAGCAATATGTGTTTTAGGTCTATGTAAGATGCAACAGTCTTCCATACCATTATAGTGAAGACCACACACTTTTCAGAACATTCTTGATTTTACTTATGCAAAATTATATAAGTGATGTACACTATGCATCAATTTATTTGTATGAATCAGATCATTCCTCCAGTAATCTCCATTTATTTAATATCTCCAGATACATAGACTAAGAGTTTCCACCCTTGGATTTCTAGAATAGGAAATCAAAACTTGCATGGAAGGTTTGTATGATTAGAAAACATAAGCTATGGAAAAGCCTAGTCTGATCTGTAGTTTTCAAAACAGGTCCCTGCTGGTTTCTGTGGGTGAAATCACTGTACATGTCCACATGTTACCATTTGGACAGAGGCACAAAGCTGTAACAAGCAAAAGAACCATTAATTTTTTTCCTAAAGTGAGGTAGTGTTTATCTGGCACAGCACTACCTTTGGCAAGAATAACTGAAAATTTAAAACGTTGTTTGGAAGAAGGGAGAACATAGGTGGTCAGTTGAGGGGTGGTGACATAATAGCAACCCCACTGACAGCCTTGCAACTGCCCCTTTGCATCAAGCCAGGTGATCCACATGCTTGAAAGTGGAGGAAAATGATGCCAGCGGGAGGAAAATGGTGTCAATCCCCCCCCCTCCGCTAGCTGAACAAAGAAAGAAAATCCTCCAAAGAAAAACACTGGGTTTCCCCATGCTAAGCTTTTTGTCTTGTATCCACGGTTTCTAATTTAATATTATCAATGCCAAATCCAACTCAAATTGCAGGAAAAATAACCATTATAGTTGCTCCCTTACCTAATCAAAATTGTTCCAAGCAGAAGGTTATAAGGAGAGAATGTATACTTATTATTAATAATGTTAGAATTTGTCTATCCATTTCTCATGAGAGGTCTATTAGTGATGTTGGTTTTTATTCATGTATTTTTCATGAACGCTAGACTTATTTAAAGAATAAGTCCCATTTAGAACCATTTATCATGTATCCTTTTGCCTGTTCTTTAAAATTCAGGAATATCTTGTTACTGGTGAAGTGAGTGCATTACATTAAAGCTTAATTAAAGATCTTTGGCTGCAGAAGGGAGCCTTTTCCAATTGCTCTTTCATAATCCATTACATTAATGACATTAGGAGGAAAAGACAACTATTGAAAAGTGAATTTTTAATTTTTTTGTAAATGCAGCTTTAAAAAAAGATAAAGAAAAGCCAGCAAAAGAGAAATCTGAAAACATATTCTCCCATTATGCAAAACATCTTTGATAACTACTAACGTGGAATTACATTGCATTTTTCATGGTACCATTAAATTCTTATATATTGTACAGAGATGTTTCTGAAAGAAAAATACAGTGGTATCATAGTTCTAAATTATTTGCAGTATCTTGTTCCATAAACTCTGTGTTCCTTGACTTCTTGACTAATATGCCAGCCAGCTGATCAATCCGTGTGTGATGGCCATAGCTTTCTTATTCCTTCTTCCCAGCAGCAGCATCATGTGACCAGGAACTCCAGTCAGCATTAGAAGAAGCCAAGCAACCCCAAAAAGACAATGTATTCATTCCAGAATGTGCCAGTGGTGGCCTTTACAAACCAGTGCAGTGTCATCCTTCTACTGGATACTGTTGGTGTGTCCTTGTTGATACAGGACGCCCTATACCTGGTACATCAACAAGGTAAGATATTTTAGTGACAGATGACATTGGTATTCAAAAATATTTCTCATCATATGATGCAAAATTATTCTGTAGGTTCAGAAGAATTATGATTTTTAAAATGGGTAAGAATATGCCATCTTTTGTTGTTGTTCTTAATGATTAGCCATTTGCCTTTAAAATATTTATATTATAATACTTATTTTGTAGCATGGCATACTGGGGAGCCATTATGTTTAGCAACCTCTAATTTTTATCCATTGTTGATCGAGATGATTTAAAATCAAATCATAAATAAGAGTCTTAAAGTGACAGTAATAACCAGATATCACAGACCACAAGTACATTGTCAAAAAGGAGCGCTATAATAATTCAAAATCTGGTTGCATTTTGAAATCTAATAAGTACTTTTGAAATGTTACAGTGTCTGAACCCAGTTTCAGTATTTGCAGCCTTGATAGCTGCACTCTTACAATTCAGGTTTGGAGAAGCAGATTGTTGCAACAACTTGCTTTAATTCCAGAGAAAAATGCCTGAACTGATGAAAACTTAAGAGAAAGGATAGAATCATGAGCCGCTAATTTCACTGAAAATTTTGCCACTGATATTGGTATACTCTAGATTTCACTCTTAATGCCCAATTGTAGATTCTGTCTGAATCCCATTCTTTTCCTTGGTTTGGATCAAAACGTAAGTATTTGTGGAATATGCCCATTTAAATTAAAGGGACTTGGATCGTTCATGGCTAACTTCACTGATTTCAGTGGTTTTATTCTAACCCTTCATTTTTAAAATTAGTTGCCTTTTGTTATTTTTCTTACTAGTCACCTTTCAAATTGATTGCCCCCATAAATTAAATAGAAATAAGACAGGTCAGATTAACTCTTTATATAGCAGTAGATTAGGCATCCTTCAGTCTCCAGAGACTATGGTAATGTGCTCTGAATAGAGGACTTGGAACAGCATCTAGTGTGGCTGGAAGGCAAAAGTTGAGAATGAGTGGCAATCCCATCCACACTCAAGACAAATACAATCTGTCCCCTGTCCAGCTCCCTGATTTTGCTGGTTTCGGGACAGCCTCTTTGCCTTGGCCTGTTGGACAAGGGTCTCTTCAAAGTGGGAGAGGCCGTGATGCACTGCCTGCCTCCAGGCGGAACCCTCAGATGTCAGGGTTTCCCATCTGTTGAGATCCATTCCTAAGGCCTTCAGATCCTGCTTGCAGATGTCCTTGTATCACAGCTGTGGTCTCCCTCAGGGGCGATTTCCCTGCACTAATTCTCCATAGAGGAGATCTTTTGGAATCTGACATCAGCCATTCTCACGACATGCCAAGCCAACATAGACATCACTGTTTCAGTAATGTATAGATGCTAAAAATTCCAGCTTGTTCTAGGACTACTCTATTTGGAACTTTGTCCTGCCAGGTGAT